AGATGGTAGCTTCGCACCATTGGCCTTTCGACCAGGCACATATACCAATTATCTGAACCTGCGGTTCCTCTCGTACTAAACAGGATTACCATAGCAACGGCCAGATTGTACTTCACTGATGTACTCATTAGTAGGGTAAAACTAACCTGTCTCACGACGGTCTAAACCCAGCTCACGTTCCCTATTAGTGGGTGAACAATCCAACGCTTGGTGAATTCTGCTTCACAATGATAGGAAGAGCCGACATCGAAGGATCAAAAAGCGACGTCGCTATGAACGCTTGGCCGCCACAAGCCAGTTATCCCTGTGGTGCCCCTTCCAGCCAAACTAGTTGGTGAAGCCTAGTAGGCCCTTCTGGAGAAGAGGCTACATCGAAGCACGGCACAACTACCGGGGCGCAATAGTTGTTTTTGCATTGTTTTTTGTCTTTGGTTTTACTTCCTGTCCGGTAATTGCTGACCACCTATGTACTACATAGCAGTGATTGATTATGCCTTTTTTAGTTGGTAAAGTTTTGTTGCAGCCTGGGTATGGACATTTATTTTGATCGTTTTTGGAGTCTATTTTATTAACTTTGTTTTTTGGTTCAGCTTTAGCTAGGTTACATTGTGGGTGGCATGATTGCATGTGTCTAATTAACCAACCCAACGTCTTATACGTCTTATTACAGTCAGATAGGGGACAGCTATATAGGGACTCACTGTTAGTTTTATTTTGGTGATCATTTCTAAGGTGTCTGTTCATTTCTTTAATTGTAGCAAACATTCTGTTACAGTTTGCATTTTGACATACATGGTTCAGCTGACGTTTCCCTATTATTTTTGGAAAGTGCTCTTGATATGCGTTTATTTTAACCTTGTTGGGTTGGTTTATCCAGTTACTAGGAAGGCGCTCACCCATTTCTTTAATGTCTTGAAATAGTTGTCTTAGCCAGTTTTTAGTATGGGCCTTCCTATTGTTGCACTGATTTTCAAAGTTACTATACAAAGACCTCACCATTAGGTTATTTGGTCTTTTATGCGCTACATACCACAAGTTTGGTCTGTTTTGCATGATTTTACTGGCTAAGTTTGGTAAGTTTATTTTAAGTTTAAGTTGCTCAACAGTATATTGTTTTCTATCGTTTATATTTAGAATTATCCGTCTTACTGTATTTAACACCGCTTCTAGTCTAGACCAATCCTGTTTTCTTAGTACTATGGATTCTAGACCGTATGTGAGAATGGGGATTATTGAGGAATCCACCATCTTGGCTTTGGTATCAAGGTTGAGTCCTTTAGATTTAAGTATTGAATTAATTTTAATTATTGCATTTTTTGCTTTTTCTATATTATAGGTGACAGCACTATCCGGAGTATCTTTGTTATTTATGGTAGATCCAAGATAGTGGAAGGATTCTACTTCTTCGATATCCTTGTTGTTTATTTTGACATTTGATGTGATAGCTTTTTTATTTATTATCATATATTTAGTCTTGGAGATTGATATCTCCATACCAATACTGGTTAAGTATTGTTGTAGGTGGTTTAAGGCTTTGGTAGCCTCCTCCGTTGTGTTAGTGATTAAACATAAGTCGTCTGCATATTCTAAATGTTTAATTGTCCAAATCTTGTTATATTGGTCTATAAGAGTCACTCCTTTTAGGGTTTTGTCTATCGTTTGTTCTAATATTTTTTGAAAGACTAAGTTAAAGATGGCCGAACCTTCTTTACTACCCTGTCTCACTCCCCTTTTCATCGTGAAGTTTAGTTCTGAATTTTTTAGATAACCCTTGGGGTCATCTAATAGTTTGGTTATACAGGAGTTTATATTTTTTGAAGGGCATAGTTTATTTAGAGTATTTAGGATTATTTGTTTGGGTATCGTATCAAACGGTTTAGTTAAGTCCACAAAGGTGAGGACTATAGTACTATTTGTATCTATATAGGATTGAATTATATGTCTTAGGGTCGTTATTGCTTGGACTGTGGACAGATTTTTTCTAAAACCAAATTGGGTTATTGGGAGATATTTATCTGTTAGTTGGACAAGTCTATTGCAGACTATGCCTGCAAATAGCTTTCCTATCGTATCTAGTAAGAAGATACTTCTATAGTTGTTTGGATCGGATCTTAAACCTTTGTTTTTATATATACTTATTACATCTGCATCTATCCAGTGGTCTGGCATAGTGAATGGATTTTTCCATATCTGATTCATGATTTTCAGTAGTATGTTATTTAGTTTATCACCACCTTGCTTTATCATTTCGCTAGTTATGCCATTACTGCCAGGCGTGGTTTGATTTTTCATTTTTTTCAAACTTTGTTTTATTTCATTTATAGTAAGTTCAGAGTCGTTGGTGGTTTTTACCGGCAATCGGATATTATCTTGGTTTAGTTTAGCATTGAATAGGTTTTGGTAGTGATATTGAAGATCACTATCTTTAACTTGATTAGCTCTTTTAGCTTTGTATGAGTGGTTTCGTATAGTAGCCAGTATATCATCTACCATTTTGTATGCTAAGTGCAGGTCATGCTTTTTAAAGTATGTGTTCATCTCATTCATTTTATCTTTGATATACTGGTCTTTAGCTAGTTTAATCTTATTATTCACTATTTTACTAGCTTGCATATAGAGGCTTTTATTAGCAGCTGTGGGATTATTTAGCCACTTTAGTCTTAGTTGTCTTCTATGTTTAATTTCGTCTTTTAATAGATTGCTTATGTTATACTGCCATCTCTTGGTGGCCGACTTATATGGGATAGCAGCTTTGTTAGCTGCTTGAGTTATGGCTCTTTCTACTTGGTTTAATTGGCATTTATTTTGGAGTAAGGTATCTAGTATCTTTGGGTAGTCTGGAGTCAAGGCGTGGATCGCCTTACTCTGTTTTCTTTTGGGCTTACTTTTATCATTAAAAGTCTTATTATTATTTAGATACTTTAGTTTCAGTATGGTTGTGATCATATAATGATCTGAGTTTGCTTCCATAGAACGGCTGTTATGAATATCACAGACCAATAGTTTTGAATTATTTTCTGTTATCACTAGATCTATGACATGTCCCACTTGGGTCTTCGGATGTACCCAGGTATGGGTCCTGTGTTCTGGCTTAGTGATGAACGAGTTCATTACTCGCAGGTTTAAAGTTTTACATAAGTTTATTAGTTTCATGCCATTTTCTGATGTTTCAGTTTCAAGTTTAATAGCTTTCCCTATAATGTTAGGGTAGTAAGTATGAAGGTCCTGGCTTAGCCTGCAATTATAGTCTCCCAGGATGAGTATAGGAAGTTTATTTAGTTTAAGCTTTTTAATTGTGTCTTTTAGCTTGAGATAGAATTTTTCTTTACTAACTTCATCATTAGAAGACTCGGTTGGGGCGTAGCAACCGATAAGGTTAATAGTCTGCTTGGCAGCTTTACTGTGTATTTTAATGGTAGCTATTCTGCCATCTACCTCTTCAAAATCGGTGGCAGTTATCATAGATTGGTCATTTACCAGAAAACCAACACCAGTATTTCGGTAGTAATTAATGTCTGGGGTAGAGTTATAAAAGCTTAGGCCGTTGTGATCCATATCAATAATTTTAGAGGTCATTCTAGTTTCCGTGATCATTGCTATGTGGTACTTGCGTTCAGCTATTTGCTCTGCTATCTCTTGGAGTTTGCTTTCTTGTGAGCAACCCCGGACATTCCATAAACCAATTTTAAGTTTTTGGTAATTTTAAGCATTTTTTTGTCTTTTTTTATTCCAGGTATATTTGTGCAATGATTCTTTGTAGCGTTCGTAATCAGGGGTGGGTATAGGTAGAGAGGGTGATTAGCCCGATCTCCACCACCCGGGTTATCGCTCACGTTAGTTCATGGAAACAGTCCCATGATCCAGGAGGCACGACGAGGACGTGTGAGTCGGATTTTACCTCCCATCCCTGTGGTGCCCCTTCCAGCCAAACTAGTTGGTGAAGCCTAGTAGGCCATTCTGGATAAGAGGCTACATCGAAGCACGGCACAACTACCGGGGCGCAATAGTTGTTTTTGCATTGTTTTTTGTCTTTGGTTCTACTTCCTGTCCGGTGATTGCTGACCACCTATGTACTACATAGCAGTGATTTATTATACCTTTCTTAGTTGGTAAAGTTTTGTTGCAGCCTGGGTGTGGACATTTATTTTGATCCTTGTTGGAGTCTATTTTATTAACTTTGGATTTTGGTTCAGCTTTAGCTAGGTTACATTGTGGGTGGCATGATTGCATGTGTCTAATTAACCAACCCAACGTCTTATACGTCTTATTACAGTCAGATAGGGGACAGCTATATAGGGACTCACTGTTAGTTTTATTTTGGTGATCATTTCTAAGGTGTCTGTTCATTTCTTTAATTGTAGCAAACATTCTGTTACAGTTTGCATTTTGGCATACATGGTTCAGCTGACGTTTCCCTATTATTTTTGGAAAGTGCTCTTGATATGCGTTTATTTTAACCTTGTTGGGTTGGTTTATCCAGTTACTAGGAAGGCGCTCACCCATTTCTTTAATGTCTTGAAATAGTTGTCTTAGCCAGTTTTTAGTATGGGCCTTCCTATTGTTGCACTGATTTTCAAAGTTACTATACAAAGACCTCACCATTAGGTTATTTGGTCTTTTATGCGCTACATACCACAAGTTTGGTCTGTTTTGCATGATTTTACTGGCTAAGTTTGGTAAGTTTATTTTAAGTTTAAGTTGCTCAACAGTATATTGTTTTCTATCGTTTATATTTAGAATTATCCGTCTTACTGTATTTAACACCGCTTCTAGTCTAGACCAATCCTGTTTTCTTAGTACTATGGATTCTAGACCGTATGTGAGAATGGGGATTATTGAGGAATCCACCATCTTGGCTTTGGTATCAAGGTTGAGTCCTTTAGATTTAAGTATTGAATTAATTTTAATTATTGCATTTTTTGCTTTTTCTATATTATAGGTGACAGCACTATCCGGAGTATCTTTGTTATTTATGGTAGATCCAAGATAGTGGAAGGATTCTACTTCTTCGATATCCTTGTTGTTTATTTTGACATTTGCTGAGTTACCTTTCTTATTTATTATCATGTATTTAGTCTTGGAGATTGATATCTCCATACCAATACTGGTTAAGTATTGCTGTAGGTGGTTTAGGGCTTTGGTAGCCTCTTCCGTTGTATTAGTGATTAAGCATAAGTCATCAGCATATTCTAGATGCTTAATTGTCCAAGTTTTATTATGCTGATCCCTTAGGGTGACTCCTTTTAAAGTTTTATCTATTGTATGTTCCAATATGTTTTGGAATACTAAGTTAAAGATGGCCGGACCTTCTTTACTACCCTGTCTAACTCCCCTATGCATTGTGAAATTTAGTTCAGTATTTCTTAGATGTCCCTTAGGATTGTCTAATAGTTTAATTATACAGGAATTTATATTGTTTGATGGGCATATTTTAGCTAAGGTGTCTATTATTAATTGTTTAGGAATGGTATCGAAGGCTTTAGTTAAGTCAACGAAGGTTAGGACTATAGTGCAGTTTGTGTCTATTGAGGTTTGAATTAGGTGTCTTAACGTTGTGATCGCGTGAATTGTAGATAAGTTTTTTCTAAATCCGAATTGAGTTATTGGAAGGTAATTATCTGTTTGTTGAACAAGCCTATTGCAGACTATGCCTGCAAATAGCTTACCTATTGTGTCCAGTAAGAAAATACTTCTGTAGTTATTAGGGTCTGATCTTAGTCCTTTATTTTTGTATATGCTTATCACCTCTGCATCTAGCCAGTGGTCTGGCATAGTGCATGGGTTTTTCCATATCTTGTTCATTATATTGAGTAGCATGTCAATTAGTTTATAACCTCCTTGCTTTATCATTTCGGTTGTTATGCCGTTGCTACCAGGGGTAGTTTGATTTTTCATATTTTTTAAGCCAATTTTTATTTCATCTAGTGTTAGTTCAGGATCTTGGGTAGTTTTTAAAGGGACTTGGGTATTATTTAGATTTAATTTAGCATTGAATAGGTTTTGATAGTGATATTGAAGATCACTATCTTTAACTTGATTTGTTCTCTTAGCCTTGTATGAGTGGTTCCGTATAGTAGCCAATATATCATCTAGCATTTTATATGCTAAGTGTAAGTCATGTTTCTTAAAGTATGAGTTCATCTCACTTATTCTGTCTTTGATATATTGGTCTTTGGCTAATTTAACCTTGTTTTTAACTATTTTACTAGCCTGCATATATAGATTTTTATTAGTGGTTGTAGGATTGTTTAGCCAGTTTAGTCTTAGTTGTTTTCTATGTTTAATCTCTTCCTTTAAGAGATTACCTATGTTGTGTTGCCATCTCTTGGTGGCCGACTTATAAGGGATTGCAGCTTTATGAGCCGCTTGTATCATCGCCTTTTCGATTTGGTTGAGATTATGGTTATTTTGGAGTAAGTTATTTAGTATATTTGGGTATTCTGGATTCAAGGCGTGTATAGCCTTACGTTGCCTTTGTTTACGTTTGCTATTAGTGTTAGGAATCTTATTATAATTTAGATATTTTAGTTTAAGTATGGTTGTGACCATGTAATGATCGGTATTCGCTTCCATTGAGCGACTATTGTGAATGTCACTAACCATTATTCTAGAGTTATTTTCTGTTAGTACTAGGTCTATTATATGTCCGGTTTGGGTTTTTGGATGTACCCATGTGTGAGTCTTGTGAGCTGGTTTAGTAATGAACGTGTTCATTACTCGCAGACTCAATGTTTCGCATAAGTTTATTAGTCTTATGCCATTCGCAGACGTTTCCGGCTCAAGATTGTTTGCTTTTCCTACGATATTAGGGTAGTAAGTGTGAAGGTCCTGGCCCAGCCTACAGTTGAAGTCGCCTAGAACTAGTATTGGAAGTTTATTTGATTTGAGTTGTTTTATTGTATTTTTGAGTTTAAGATAGAATTTGTCTTTACTGATATCTTCACTAGAAGACTCAGTTGGGGCATAGCAGCCAATAAGGTTAATAGTTTGGCTAGTGGCTAAACTACGTATTTTAATGGTGGCTATCCTACCGTCTATTTCTTTAAAGTCAGTGGCGGTAACCATTGAGTGGTTACTAACGACGAAGCCGACACCGGTGTTCCGGTAGTCGTTGATGTTTGGGTTGCAGTTGTATAGAGTTGCACTGTTATCTATTTCGATGGTTTTGGAGACCATCCTAGTTTCCGTGATCACTGCTATGTGGTACTTGCGTTCAGCTATTTGCTCTGCTATCTCTTGGAGTTTGCTTTCTTGTGAGCAACCCCGGACATTCCATAAACCAATTTTAAGTTTTTGGTAATTTTGGGCATTTTTTTTGTCTTTTTTTATTCCAGGTATATTTGTGCAATGATTCTTTGTAGCTTTCGTAATCAGGGGTGGGTATAGGTAGAGAGGGTGATTAGCCCGATCTCCACCACCCGGGTTACCGCTCACGTTAGTTCATGGAATCAGTCCCATGATCCAGGAGGCACGACGAGGACGTGTGAGTCGGATTTTACCTCCCATCCCTGTGGTAACTTTTCTGACACCTCTTGCTTCAAACTCCGAAAATAACATCAAAAGGATCGATAGGCCACGCTTTCACGGTCTGTATTCGTACTGAAAATCAAAATCAAGTAAGCTTTTGCCCTTTTACTCTACGCCAGGTTTCTGTCCTGACTGAGCTCACCATAGGACACCCGCGTTACCATTTGACGGATGTACCGCCCCAGTCAAACTCCCCGCCTGACATGGTCTTCAGAACGGGTCGCACATCACATCAAGACTCAAACACCGCAATTTGCACCACGACTCATCTGACATGACCATGATATCGAAGCACGCAGCGATAGACCACGCACCCCGAAATGTGCTTTGAACCAAAATACAATTTCGTTCCCGTTTCACTGAATAAGTAAAGAAACAATGATAGCAGTGGTATTTCATTTGCGCTGGACACCGAAGCACCCAGTGAGCCAAGTTTCGGTGATAACAATTATATCCGGATTTAAGTCGTCTACCATCAAAATTAGTTCAGACATCTTATTCCGAAGACTACGAGCATTCGTATAACACACATTTAGGGTGTTTTTGGAGACATGCGTTCTACCCACACAGGTCTCGGAAGCATTGACCTGACTACCCGGAAACCCTTAATCGTAAGGTTCGTTTCACCGTTTAGCCTTCGAGTTTTTAACTCTGTTAGGGCATTCTTCCACTTGATCCGATCCTCAAGTGGCCAGTCAGGTCTAATACGAATGTTTGAGTCACGAGTTTTGCGTGAGTTATTTAGTAATACGTCCCTTTCCTGAAAATTACCGAGTACTAATTTGAGGATCCTTCTCTGTTGGGTTTCGCCTCCAACATACTTACCAAGTCTGATGACTTTCGAGATATGTACCCCTGGGACCTCCTCTGGCAGTATATTTCTGATGAGAGATCCGACTAACTGCAGGTCGTGGGCATGTCTCTTAGCGGGATCGGTGTCTTTCGATTCTGCCAAGTTCCAGATGATTACACTAGGCACCTGTTTAACTGCCTTAAAAGTCGTGTTCACGGCCTTTGACCGTGATGTCAGATCCTGCCGGTTAGCTACCGGCTTCTTGCTATTAGCTTTCTTTATCACAATGTCATGTGGGTCAAGTGAGTTACTCCCAACAACATTTGGTGAAGTTAGACTATTTCCATCCACAACAGTATTAAATATTTCCTTACATTTGGACTTGAGCGGAGTTGCCTGATGCTCAGGACGTGAGTCCAACGATGACTTACCGACTATACGCGCGCTTTCTTTGGGTATTTTTCCGTCTCTTTTGCGTTTCCGCGTAATCCATTTGCCACTATTCTCAGCATCCAGATTGGAACTATTCTGGACGATAGTGGTTCTAGCCGGTTCCTCAGTCGCTGCTAAAGCGACTGGTCCCTCAGTACTTAATGGCATGGCTTTCATTGGTTGTATCGGAGTGCAAATTTTTGCTTCATGTTGCGAAATTGGGTGTCTGGTACCTGCCATGGCAGCATTTACGACACTGATACAATCTTCATTATCAGTATCCATGTTGCCGGCACGGCCTACTTCGACCTTTTTAGCTAACGCTAGAAGGCTGATGGCTTCCTGAATGAGTAATGTCTTACTTGAGCAACAAAACATACAGAGCCAATGAGAATTTGGTTTCGAGCACCTTTTATAGGCAGCAGGGCTTAAGCGGGTGCACATTTTATGAAACCACTTCTTACAATCGTCACACTGCATCCCTTCTTCCACGGGGAATAAGCAATATGGCTGTCCACACTTGTGTACAGAGCCGACCATCTTAGAATAAAGCAAAATGATAGGCAAGGTAGATATGTAAGATAAATCACAACCTTATCAAATAAACAAGCCTCAGTCGACCAAGAATGCTTTGATGCAGTAAATACACAAAAGCAGGATCAAAACACACAAATACAATGTCACGTTAACTGAAATAAATTCAATTAAAGTGTAAACGGTCGTTTTGATACGTAATTTACGTTCAAAACAGTAAATTAAACTCAACGTGAAACAATACCACTGTCCTTTTAAATAGCGCGCTTTCGTCGAGTAGTTGAACAGCCGATCGATGTACCGAAATCATCTGTTAGATAACAGCCATGCGGAAACAATACTTCATAAGATAAAAATTCGACGTCGAAGTTGAATAACTACAATAGTTCGGATGTGTTGTAATGTCACATCGAAGTAACATTGTTTCGTATACTGACAATTGTACTGAACGTTCGTTTGGGCATTGTTTATGTAGCAATTGGATGTGCAGTAGCAAACATATACGAAGACTATCGTGGGGTTTGTGGAGAATTTCAGAAGACGTTTAAATATTTTCCAAACCCGTATTGCATGTGAATAAGCCGAAGACGGAATTAAAGTGACTTTCGTGCAATAAGGAGATCGAGCCATGATTTACTGTGTGAGATAACAGCAAATACAAAGCGCATAGTAAACATTAATTTAAATGGTAACCACCAATGTAACTACAGTTAAGGTTTAGATAACGTGATCGTTTCGTAAAAGAGCTTATTATCTCGTGTTAAGTGACATTAAATACGACGAATTGTCTAGTAAGGACATAGACTACGATTGCTCGTGTACACGTAATACGTTTTTCAACAGCATGACTTACGAGTCACAAATGTACATGGTTTCGACTAAAACTTTACGGCAGTGACAGAATATATGACTACTTTACGTGAAAATAGTCGCGAAATGTTATTAGTCATCATAAACATTATACGTAATTATCTAATGCAGTTATAAAACTCGCCTGGGTTACTCTTGCTCCAAATTAATTGAAATTTGTTGATCAAATTCGTAGATTAACGAAGCGTTGTAGACTGATTTGGTATACGTCCAAATTTAATTTGCGCCAAACACGTAGCCTGGCGAAACAGTCTAAACAAGATCTAACATTGCAAGAAATTTATAGTTCAAACTCACCGTAAATTTGTAGCATTCGTATCTTCTGATTCGCCATGGAACGCAGCAATTGGAAATTAGGCAGGCAGTGGTCAAGAAAGTAAAATATTCTAGTAGATAGTTTTGATAGTAGTTGGTTGAAAGTGATTAAGCAGAAAGATGAATTTATAATCGACAGTTAATCCTGTATTGGTTATGCAAGTGGATAAGTTGCAAACTGACGTGCGTTCGTGTTTCCTTGAGGCTATACTTATGAGTGGTTGATATTTTAACAGACATATTACACAGGAGCATTAACATGCCGCTAATGCTTGTTAAAGAACCACGATAGTCGATTATAGTCGTAGTTGATTGGTTAGTTCTATCGATTGAACTAATTATTTCAGTTGAAATACTAATCAACATTGATATGAAGCAACGAATGTTCACAGAAACTGATAAAGATAGCCAAAGTTAAAAATGAAAAATAATAAGTATAGAATGTAATAAAAAAATCATAATGATAGTTTGCGTTATTCGAAGTCTTGCTCACCAGTGTAGAACATCTACGTTGATGTTCTATGTCAAAATGATTGGGGGCCTACTATTGTTAGACGAGAATGGTGACGAACCAACTAACGCTGAAGTCACACCTCGCGACCAGCCCTCACGAGGATTGAACCATCGACGCATTAAAGGACCATGGATGCTATAGAGACTATACAACACAAAGGACGTTATTACAAGAATATATTAGTTAAGGTACAAACACGAAGGTGCAGAAGTGAAGCAACAACCACTACCGCGTGGGCCAGTCCATGGCATATGATTGATGCGCGTTGACTATCCTTGACCTTGACAGGGATCAATGATCTGTTTGGTATTCAGTGACCCTACAATGCCAACAGAATGTCCCTTTTAATCTACCGGTTTGTCATACCGTTTTCAATATCACTGGACTGTATGAAGTCTCTAATTTATGGTGAGCCATGTAACTACCTCATATCCACTTATTTTCACTCTAGCAGCAAAATCATGAATCTGGTAACTGCGGTTGATAAATGGACTGGCAATGTTGATTGCACGAGTATGGTGGACCAGGAGTCAGTTTGTTAGTATCGATATGCTGGCTTAAGTCATATCTAAATAATCGACTTTCTCATCTCAAGCTATAAAATCTCCTTGTAGGGTTCTACAACTTAAGTGTTCTCTGTGACCTAACTTCTTGCTAATAACGTCAGGCCCTTGATGGGAGTTTGAAACTACAATGATTAGTAGATGTTTTAGAAGAATCTGCCACTATAAATATTGCTTGGGTGATCAAATTCTAAACGTTCTACAGGTTAGAAAAGAATCAGATTTTGGGGGCTCTTTGATATTAAACCTTATGCTTAACTGAACAAAATGTCTGTAGAGGGAACCCTTCACAAGTAACTTTGATAGGCATTTCTGTCTGGTTTGATAGTAGGATGTTTTACTTAACTGTTAAGCTTCACTCGACCTCACTTCAAAATCCTTTCGTACGTTGATATGTGAATATGTAAGAGAATCTCCCAGTGTGTTTTCACCTTACTGATATTTCATTGTTTTCACCTGTACAGGACGTTCCTTCTATTGTTATCTGTATCAATGGACACACTTCACCCAATACCATAATTCTCTTATATGCAAGAATTTCATTTCTGATGCCTTAACTTGAACATTAGTATCACACATCTTTTAAAAAATTGTAGTTTTTCTTGATATTATATGGTTTTCCACTGCCTCTTATGATCTTATTAAATTTCATTATTGAACTTCGACGGGTGCCATACTGAGTAAGTGAGTTTTTTGGTTATCGCCATTTGTCAGGATCACTGGCTACTTCTAATGATATAAATCACGTTTCCTGTTTAATAGTAGAGCATATTACTGTCTGAAGTTTAGATCAGCTTCCTTCTGAGTTGGTTGACTCATATCACTGTGAAGGTTTTTTGATTGGAAAGGGCCCTGTCTTACATTTTACGAGTAGATCATTTTGGACCCCAGCAATTTATAACGTGGTGTACTTTGGTCTTCACTGTGTCAAACATTATTGAAATACGCTTCGTACTGTATGTTCTTTTCTTGTTATCTT